AAAAAATAAAATAAAAATCAGCACATACTTATTATACTCCCCATAGATAAACAGCAATACAGCAATCTATATCAATAGCCAGGACAAGCAAAGACCTTCTATAACCTTTGATCTTGACCTTCGAACTGTGGCGATGAAAGTATTTTGCAACACACTATCTAGTGGTGATATAAATGCGTATCCAGTTTTGTTAAATTACCCTGAGCGGATGGGAATTTATGGGTGGGACAAGCACAGACTTTGTTTTAAATTTCACCTTGATTTGTGGCCTTGAATTTGAAGCTGGGGTGATGAAAAATGTAAGACACTCCGTTTGGTGATGATGCATAAGTGTATGAAGTTTCATTATTATCTCGAGCAGATACGTGGTTAATGGAGGGACCAGAAAAAGTTTATGGATGGACTGAGAGATGGACAGATGAGACTATACCATAATGCATCCACTTTTTTGACAGACAAATAATAAAGCTGTTCTTTTTACAAATAATCTAGTAGAAAAGTCATTCTAGCTGCTGAAATACAAAAATCAACATCTCTGTATTTTTTTTACCAGATATACCTTTTTTTTTACCCCACTCGCTATAGTTAGTTTTTTCTTCACATGATCATTTATGTCATTAAAAGTACAACTCTAAAATTAACTTTTGCTGCTTCTCAATCATCAATAATGGAGTCATGTAAAGACACTAAAGGGACGACATGTTTTTCTTGAAACGTCTCAAAAGAACTTCTAATCTGTGACTTCTTTATGAAAGGTAGAGCTAAATTCAAACTATTCCTTAGCACTTAAACAATCTAGAAAAATGAGTTCTCCTTTTCAGGAAAAGATCTTTCCACAAGGTTACTTGGATTCTAAAAAAATGGCCAAGCTGTAGGTTCAAAACAACAAACTTGAAAGGCACATACGTCTTTGTGGTTCTGGGCTCAGGAGGTTCCTACATTTTGCTTTTCATGGTGAACTATAAAAGAACAGAAAGCCTACTTTTCAGTGGCACCCTTTTTTTCCCTTCCTAAATCTATGGTCCAGTGAGAAATACACCAGGCTGTTTCCAGGGAATACATGTTTTCTTTCAAGCTAGACAATCTCTATCTCAATAGAGCCAGCGGTCCATGCAGCAGCCTTTAACCATGGATTCCATCAGAGATGGATGTGTTTCAATGAGCTGGCAAAATGGCTGACTGCAGCCGCTCAAAACAATCAGCTTGAGAAGCATCAAGAAGCAGCTCTCCACTAAATAATGTGCACTGATTCTATTTTTTAAAGAAGCTGCATGTAGTAGATCAGCCAAACACGAGATAGACGCAGACAATAAAAAGAGATTTGGGGCAGGTTTGAATGTCCTGCAGACCACAACATGACTTACTGTATCAACCAACTGTTTCATGGAAAGAAATGTCTGCTTTTATTTGACCAAAAACTCTCAGAAACGTCCTCAGGCGGCTGAGACGAGCTGGTCTGGGAAGCTCAGTCCTCACCTCCTTCTACAGGTGTGCAGTGGAGAGCATCCTGTGCTCCAGCATCAACGTGTGGCATGGAGGCTGCACAGCTGCAGAAAGAAAAGCTTTGCAGAGAGTGGTGAAGGCTGCACAGAAGACTGTTGGAGTCAGCCTCCCCACCATCACAGACATCTACAACTCCAGATGCAGGAAGAGGGCCACCTGCATCATGAAGGACCCCACTCACCCAGCACACACACTTTTTGCCCTGCTCCCCTCATGCAGGAGGTTGAGCAGCATTAAGTGTAGAACCACTAGACTAAGGAACAGCTTCTACCCTGAGGCTGTTAGACTCATGAATCTCTAATCAGAATAATCAATGTGAAAAAAATCACATCATGTTGCTGTGTTCATTCGTCATCTGCTCACACAGACTCATGTTCGTGCTGCTGTTCGGCGCATTGTTTATGTACTATTAGTGCTTAGCGTATTTTTTGTTAACGTTTTTCTTAGTTCATATCTTAGATCTTATGACTGTTTTTCTTTTACATTTTATACTTTTGGTGGATGTAACTGGGACCCTGTGTACACAATTCCGTTCCGCCACATGTACTACATGTGGTGCGTATGACAAATAAAGAACCTTGAATCCTTAAAAAAGTAACTAAAATAGTGTTTTGAAGATGTTCATTAACAAGAAAGCAAGGAGATGAATGGTTATTATTAGGAAAATGGTCATTTCTAATCCAGGAACGACCTGACCTCCACCTATAGAGACATGCATACACTGCAGAACCATGAAATAAATGTGGACACGCTCACTAGACTTGTGTTGTTTTGGCTCTACAGGCACAAGAAGTGGGGCAAATCACAGCAGATATCACAAGAGTTTTTTGTGGCTGCAGAGAAGCTCAAAGCAGCACAACTTATTCCATAAATGCATGAAAGTTTCTACTTTGACGATAATTTTCTCTGAGTTCCCTCCAGAGAACTTGCGAGAGTTACCAAACAAGACTAGAGCTGCCCTGATGTTCTAAAGTTAACAGTAAATGAAATAAAAATAATTTGTAGCTGCGTTTGTACATACGTTACAGAAATATGTTCAAGGGGCTGAATGGGAAAGCAAGTGTTTCATACGGAGGTGATTGGAGATTCGACTGTTCTCAAATGTAAAGCTATTATCATTTATACTCAAATACATGAAGCAAACATAACAGTAGATCTGTCGTTTAAAAAAAGGATTATTATGGAGCTCATTGTAAGATTTTCTGAGACACAACCCATCATGCCATTTTAGATGAAATACAAAGTTCTTTTACATCAAATATTGTACTTTAAATGAACAACTTTTAAAAAATATATTTCCTGTTTAGGCTCATAAGAGGATAGAGAGAAACCAACAATTGAGGGTTAAATTTTACAAAATCTGAAAAGGGAATAAAAAAGTTAAAAGTACAATCAGTGCATTTCTATACAATTTTCATTCTTCACCCTCAAACAATGAATGTTGCCCATCGAGGGACAGATGAAGTTAACTGATGACATGAATGTTTAGAAACATCACATTTTATTTCAAATGTATCTTTATTCCTCACCTAAACGCACACTAACCACCAGTGTTGTGACTTTCACAGGACAAGCCATGTCGATAAACTGCGACACTAAAATAGATGTTCTTTTTATTTAACACTTCATTCAGTAAAAGCTAAATAAAATGTGTCTTTATCAGATGTGGCCAAACTCACTTTCTGCTTAAACATTTATTTGATGCTAAAATCTCTCTCTTATTCAGCCATGACCAAACTGATGATGTACATCTGTTCCCAATGGAACCAAGATGGACAGCAAATGAAAGCCGGTCGTTTTGATACAACATTTGTGGGGATACATGTTGCAGTTCGGGCCACATTAAAGTTGACGGAAGGCTAAGGTATAAATAAATAAAGTTAAGAAATCTGAAGTCAGGTGGATAATAATAGATGTCTGCCAATATGGGAGCCCCCAAATGTAGAACTTAAAAGCAGAAGAAGCTTAAATAAAATATTGAGTCAAAATACAGACTTGTAATTATGAGGTGCCATTTGTAAATCTACTTAGTCAAAAAGTAACAGCAATATTTTGGTTTATTTAGCCTTTCATACGAAAAAAAGTTTATTTTCAAAGTCATATTTTCACCATGTTATTCGTGCATTTATAAATGTCATAAATCCAAACTAAATATTTAACTTACAATCAAAATATTTAGTTTACAACCTAAGCACTTAACTTGCAAGTTCAATATTTAGTTAGCAAGCTAAATATTTAGCTTACAAACTAAACATTTATGTCCAAGCTAAATGTTTAATTTACAAATCAAATATTTAACTTGCAAGTTAAATATTTAGATATTGAACTATATATTTAGGTGCAAATTACATATTAAATTTCTAAGCTAAACATTTAATCCCTAAACTAAATATTTAATTTGCTAACTAAATATTTGGCTTGGACCTAAATATTTATTTCCAAGCTAAACATTTAATTTCCAAAATAAATATTTCATTTGCTAACTAAATATTTAGCCCCGACCTAAATAGTTCACTTGCTAGCTAAATGTTTAACTTGCACGTTAAATATTTTGTTTGTATATTAAACTTTAAGCTTGGACATAAACATTTTGTTTGTAAACTAAATATTTAGCGTGGGGCTAAATATGTAGCTTGCTAACTAAATATTTAACTTGAAAAGTTAAAGTTTTAGTTTGTAAACTAAATATTTAGCTTGTAAATTAAATATTTAGTTTGGAACTATGACATTTATAAATGTATGAATACCATAGTGGAAATATGACTTTGGAAAAAAAAACAACAACAATGTTTTTCTTATGAAAGGCTAAATAAACCAAAACATTGCTGTTAATTTTTTACTGCGTAACTTTACAAACGACACCCCATAATTAATAGTCAAGTTATATCATTCTACTTAAATAAAAAGCATCCCAAGTGTGAGCAAAAGAGCCGAAGATAAAGTTCAAAAAGAATAAGCAGAGGGAAGCAAATCTAGAAGTGCATCCGAGGAAAAATGCATACACTTATTGGTAAAAATACTAATTATAATCACTTATACTACAAGTCTATCAGCTTTTTGTCTGTATTCATAATAGTCTCAGACGGATTGCAAACTACATCACCAATACCATATTTACTACGGCACAGTGAATGGTTTGGAAACAATCTCTCTTCTAAACATGTCAGTTTCTTCACATCAGCTCAAACTGATGCTGTAAGTGTGAATACAAATACAGAGCAGGATCCTGACATATAAGGATGCATACATGTACACATATCCCCTTCCATGTGTTAATTGTCATTGCACTGAGCTGACTCTGCTCCATCACATTCTGAGCTTTAATCGTGCCCAGGCGCTCTGCCTGCAGGGGAGAGGTGTTAACATTCAGAGCAAGTATCTGGAGAAGACAGCGCTTGCTCTTTTACTGGACGTTCAGCTCAAACCCAGAGAAGACAGAAGGAAGTGTAAGGATGTGGGGTGAGGATGAAACTTCAGGTAAAGGATCCTAAACTTACCACCCCCGTGTCCAGCTGCTCCGTCGTCAGAGATGGAGCCGCTCGTGTTCGGGGTACCAACCCCAACATCATCAGCATCATCATCATCAGCAGCAGCAGCAGCATGTCACTGGAGGGGTTCCTCCTCCAGGTGAGAAGAACCATGATGCCCTACAGCTTGGTATGAGGTCCCGCAGGGCTCAGACACGCAGCCCGACACTCGCATCCACCGGCTCAATCACGCGCCGACACCGGAGGAGAAAAATACGCGCAAGTCTACCTCACTGTTGAGCGCAAACACATGAAACACATGAACACCGGCGCGCGTGAGACCAGCACTGAGGACGAACCGCACGGAAAACTTTGCGACAATAAAATAAAATGAATTAGAATAAAATAAAATAAAATAAAAATCCCAGTGAGATGTGAGAGGAGAGTCCAGCAGAGGTGGGATGATCCCGGTGGCAAGACGCGCGAGCTCCTCCAGCGCGAGGAAAGAAAAAGAAACAAGAAGGAAAAAAAAAAAAAAAAAAAAAAAGGAAAGCAGCAGCTGCCAGCTGCGCGCGGTTGGCTCGCGCGCGTCCGAGGCTCAAGCCAGTCACAATGAGACGTTCAGGTTCCGGGAGAAAACCCCAAAATAAAATAAACCAGAACCTCCACGCGACCTTTTCATTAAGTTTCTCATTATTTCAAGTAAAGCGCGCGCGCGTGAACTGTGATGCTCGATAATAAAAATCGTCCGCCGCCAAAGAATGTTTTACTCATATTTGTGTGTTCTTTCTGTGCCTGTTAGCAAAATATCTCATGAACTACAGCTCGGATTCTAATGAAACTCTCAGAAAGTATTCACTGGATGCACATCTGCAGGCAGCAGTTATTTAGAATCAAACACTTTCAAGATGGCCGCTACAGCTAAGCAACTTTAACATGCACAAAAATGGCTGCAACTCTGCAAACTTTAAAGATAATGAGCTGCATTTTGGTAAAGTAGTAGCTGAGAGTCATCCCAAGGATATACGATAAGTGCTAATTGATAGTAGGTGATCTGCTGTTAAAACTTTGTCATTAACTATTACAGTCAACTGTGCCTGTCTGTTAGCACAATATCTCCTGAACCCACCTATGAATTTTAATGAAACGTTTAAAAAGTAATCACTAGATATAAAACTACAACTCAATAACTTTTGAAGTCCACCTGATTCAAGATGGCCAACACAACCCACCTTCAACCAACACTAAAATGGATATAAGTCAGTCAATTATACAGATACAGTGCTAAAATTAAGTGTGATAGTAGCTGAGAGTGATTCATAGCACATATTATGAGTGTTAAAATTTACGCGTTGACTTTAGCTTTTTTTATGAGAACTACAATACAATTGACACAAAACAGGCAAGGCAACATCTGGAGATCCCAGAGGAGAGGAAAATAAAACTGTCAGGGTTTTCAGATGGAAATTAACCTAAATCTGGCACATGTGCATGATATGTTGTGCACTGTCCCTAATTAGCCGTTTTGATTTAACAGAAAATGTTTAAACTCACCGCATGAGGGGCTGATGATTAAAACCAGGCCTGTGTGCAAATAATAGATTTAATAATTACTTGTTATTTACACTCAGTCAATTAAAAAATGGGACACCCTCCAACTCTTTCATTCTCCAGCTGAACTTTTATTTTGAATTTTGATCCGCAGGCTTCCTTCTAGGTTAATATTGGGTTTTCCTTTGACTTTATTCAAACAGCTGTGACTGTGGGTGCGTGAATTCAGCCAGAGGGGCCTATTATTTAATCTTTGGGATTTTAATCATGAGTCATCTTGGATGAGAAGTCAGTGTCTTCAAAATGGCTATATTTAATATGCTTTATTCTCACAGTAGCCTGTGACATGACGTCACAAATAAAATATGTTGCTGATTGATGACGACTCCATAATCCCTCAAATTTAAGAGATTGTCAACAAAAATAAATAGGTAGATTTTTGGGGGTTTATGAATAAAACTATAATTTCATATTTGGGAACAATAAACACCAGTTTAAACTGTGATGTTAGCAATGTTCTCATATTTTTTGTCCATTAAAGATCAAATTCAATGTTCTTTCTTTTTGTTTGTTTGTTTAATTGTCACAACATGAGCTAAATATCTCATGAACCACTGTTTAATTTTTAATAAAACTCCCAGAAAGTGATTGGTTGCCATGGCTAACCAAGCTCAGAAAAAACACGTAAACGTCTACATCGCGTTCAAATTTACAGATGCTGAGCTAATATTTGGCGTGGTAGTAGCTGAAAGTCATCCGTAACTCAAGAGCTATAACCTCTTGCAAGATCTCATGTGAGATTGTATATAATGTCATTCACAAAGTTTTAATACAATAGCTTAAAGTTTAGTTCAACTGTTTGTTGTAAAGTTAATTTAAGAAAGGTGGCGGGCGATGTGCAGTCCTTTTATTTGTAATGAGTGTATTTTGCTAATTATTTCAGAGACTATATATATGAAAACTTTTTTTTTGAGGGATTTGCAGTGCTGCAGTTGGATTTTCCATTTGAAATAAAATAATTTTAGTTGCACTCTCTTCAAGTTCTCATAATAAAACGTCCAGTTTGCCCTGATTTGGCAGCTGCCTGATTATAAAATGGCATAACGGGTGGCAGATTCTCAATCATACATTTGAAGGGTGACATTTCCATATGAAGTATAAACACAACGTATGTTTGATTAGTGTTTTTTAAAGTGGGGGCCGCGGCCCCCTGGGGCACCGCCAGGGTTCGCTATGGGGGCCCCAGAAAGCTGGAGAGAAGAAGATTAAAAAAAAAAAAGCTAATATAAAAAAAAATCGTAATAATAATAATAAAAATTGCCCACTAGGGCAAACTGTATCTGTCATTTCCAGATAAACATGCTCAAGAGAGAGGTTAGATTTATTTTGTTTTGTTCTGGTCAACAGTTTATTGAAAAGTTGTTTTTTCAGTGGGAATTTAATACAGTGTTTAAAACATTTAATTGTTTTTTTTATGGTCAGCAGCTGTAATAATTAATTGAATATAGTAAAGTTAAAAGACGCTTCTTTGTATATTTTGTAGCATTGTTTGTGGGTTTGCGAGGGGGGCCTTGGCAAGAACATAACGCTGTTTGGGGGGCCATGGCATGGAAAAGTTTGAGGACCCCTGTTTTAGATAGTTAAGACTTCGCTTTCATCTGGAAGGACAAATTATTTTGATCTGGACTCTGAAGATGTTTCATATGAGCAAAACGTTGTTATGACTCAAGAAATTAAAATACACCTAAAGCACAATATTGTCTCTATAATAGTCTGATAAGATTTCTTGACAGGTTCACAGTGACATCTAGATTTTTTGTATCGACCTAAGTTCAAGGCTCCACCCACAAAAAAAAGTCCTTGTGTCAAAGAGTCTTAAAAGTCCCAGTCAGGCAGAGCTGAAGACGACCCTGCCATGATGGGCAATAAAAAAAGATCCAGCACTGGAAGATTATAAAAAAAAAGGTTCAAATCTGCATTTAGATATTTGCGTTTGTGAAAATGAGTGCCAACTGTAGTAACATCAAAAAAGTTATAATCTATTTAAGGTTTAAATAACAATTGAGATAAATGCAAGCACGCCTCTCTGCCCATCGCCAAGCAGGCAGCTACATGCCAACATCCTAACTACTCTGAGTCTGCTTTGATAGACAGTCCCTTTAACCCAAGCACGCTGTCACTAATGATTTACAGCTCTCCTTTATTGTACCTCGTGGCTGGACTGCAAAGAAGGAGCGTAACGAGCGCATGAGAACAAGCTCCCATTCACATGGTGCTTTGATCCAAATCATCTAACGCTGTAGTTATCAAATGTTCAGTTCTGATTGTTGTCAATATATTAAAGGGATTTATTTTATACATTCTTTGAAGGAATATATATTGTCTGCTACCTTTTGTGCCAAATATGGACATGGTCATTTTGGTCAAAACCTTGTGATTGATGTCAGGCATGAGCTCATAAATTATATCTTGCAAAAAGTGTTAGCTCAGAGTATGTGTTGAAGACAACTCTCAGCCACTGCCACGCCAAATTTAGCTTAAGATCTGAAAAACGTATCGAGTTATATCAATTTTTCCGTTTGGAAAATGTCTATTATCTGTGGTAACCATCTTGAACGGAAGTGGTTGAAGAGAAAAATCCAACGATTAAATGCTTATTTTGATGTAAAATAAAAAATTGATTCAAATCGACAAGTTCAGGAGATATGTAGTGCTGCACTACAGGGAAACAAACACAAACACTGAGAAAAATGGAATCGCTTTTTTCAGCCACGGGCAATAAAAAATTAAAATATTGTCAAACAAACAAGGAAATTATAACATTTGTGTAAAAAAGAATCTATCTATCTATATATATATATATAAATACATACATGTTTAATATTAATCAATTAATCAAACTGTCAGTCAATGCACTTTGTCTGTACATATATATTTCTGTCCTAAAATGAAGTAATTTTCCCATGTGGGTGTGATGAAGCAAGATTAATTGGCTGCTATTGTAATGTAAAATCCTGAAAATAAATAAATAAATGAGTCTATACCATCAATCCATGTCATATCTTCACTCAGAAGTGATGAGGCACTTTATGTGTGAATTATTGAGATACTGTAGGACAGTGATATATGAAATGTTAATAAGATCGTTCAAACCCTATTTATACTATATTTACATGTCACACTCTAATTGGTTGCCCCATCAATCATGTTAACATCGGGATGTAACAATGAACACACGCTTATATTCTGCTTTAGCTACAATATGCAAGTGTGTCTACTGTTTTAATTATTAGCATTTTTCCACTTACACATCTTTTATAGTAATGTGAATATGACAATAAGCTGTGCATGCAAATATAAGCATAAAAAAATCAACATTTTATAATATATGTTTGTGAGCTTTGCAAAAAGTAGTACAACTCTATGCTTGATAGCCAGAATGCAGCAAAACCTCCCTCACAAACGTCATTAGTCTATTGTGATTTGAATTTAAAGTTTTGATGAAAGCAAATTCAACATTTGTCACCCAGAGGAAGTTTAACTGTGGAAAACCATTGTCTTCTTTTTACCCAACGTACATCTATAAAAACCCAAGTAAAGGTTTGCAAATGTTCTGATGATGA